AATTGCAAATGTCTAGCATGCTCCTCCTGAGTCCGTGAATAAACCAAGATGTCATCGATGAACACTACTACGAACTGGTCTAAGTATGGTCGGAACACACTGTTCATAAGCTCCATGAACACTGCCGGGGCATTAGTCAATCCGAAAGGCATGACTGAGAACTCATAATGCCCATAGCGTGTTCTAAAAGCAGTCTTCGGAATGTCTTCTCTCTTAACGGAAATCTGATGGTATCCAGAACGCAGATCAATCTTTGAGAATACTGTAGCTCCTCTGAGCTGGTCAAACAGGTCGTCGATGCGAGGCAATGGATAACGATTCTTCACTGTGGCTTTGTTCAACTGTCTGTAGTCGATGCAAAGTCTCATGGATCCATCTTTCTTTCGAACAAATAACACCGGTGCTCCCCATGGGGAAACGCTAGGTCGGATGAATCCCTTTTCCAGTAGCTCTTGCAACTGAGCCTTCAACTCCTTCATCTCGGCAGGTGCTATACGATACGGTGTAGCAGATATGCGTTCCGTACCCGGAATGAGATTGATCGAGAATTCTACCTCTCTCGGTGGAGGTAAACCAGGTAGGTCTTCGGGAAAGACATCGGGGAAGTCGCAAACCGTACGAATGTCCAGCTGACGTGGTGATTCTTTTTGCATATCCTGAACGTGACACAGGAACATCTCGCACTTTTTGCGAATCAAGCGCCTCGCGCTCAAGGACGATATGAACTCGGGAGTCTTGGGGAACACTTCCCCGGAGAGTGATACGTCGCTACCGTCCTCGACTCTCAGCCGTACGGTCCGACAACTGCAATCGACCACTGCTCTATGCTCGGTGAGCCAATCCATACCAAGGATAATGTCAAACTCCTTGTGTGGTAGCTCTATCAAATCTGCAGGGAATTGCTTCCCTTGCACGGACAACGGACACCTCTGATAAATGTGATGAAGACGCATGCTATGTCCTAGCGGATTCGATACAACAGTAGGTATCTCAAGGTCACTCCTCACAATCGCAGAATTAGCAGGCATGCCAACACAGATATAGGAGAGCGTAGAACCCGGATCGATCAAGGCATGCATAACCGAATCAAATAGTATGAACGTACCCAAGATAACATCGGGACTAGGATCTGTGCGCCCATGCATGGCGTAGGTACGCGCTGGTGCCTGGCCTGACGGCTGCGGACGTGCTCTCTGCTGATTATTTGCGGCCGTAGACTGCTGACTCCGTGCTGGATGTGATGCGGCAGGCTGATCCGGAGCTCTAGGTAAAACAGGCTTGCTGCTAGGGTTTGTCGGGCAATGCCTCCTGAAATGCCCTGGCTGACCACAACCCAAACATAAGCCTTGGGCGAGCCAACACTCGCCCGGGTGATGCCTACCACACTGTACACACTGCGGGTGGCTCCTCGTTCTGTTCGAGTTGCTAGCGGCGGCCGACGGAGACGACCTCGACTTACTCCTCTTAGGCGGCGGCGCACTCGAAGAACCCTTCTCGTACCTCTTTCTCTCGGGTCTTTCGTCGCTCGATCCTCCTTCTTGGTTGCCTGCAGATCGTCCAAGCTCTTTTCCGTCTTCACAATCAAATCATATGCCGCATTAAAATCTGTCGTCGTGATCAGTGCGGCGTACGGCCTCAAGTCCGGCCGTAGCTTCTTGACGAACTCATTCAAACAATCCTCCGGAGTGGAGACCAGACTCGTCGCATACTGGGACAGGTAGTCGAATTTCTGTCTCAGTTCAGGCAGTGACATCCCCTCCTGCTTAAGCGCAACGAATTCATCGCGCCTCTCCTCGCGGTACCGGGTGGGGACGTACTCCTTCGTGAAGGCTCGATCGAAGCGATCCCAGGTCCACGGCTTGGGCGTGTGTGGATCCTGGTCAATGCGCTTCCACCAATCATATGCTCCCTTCCGGAACATCTGTGACGCCAACTCCGAGCGATCAGCATCTGGGACTCTCAAATTCTTGAGTACCCGGTCCATCTGCTCAAGCCAATCCAATGCAATCTGGGGCTCCCCCATCTTGTCTCCTCGGAACTCTTCCGCTCCATTATCCTTCAACATCTTGAAGGTAACGATGCGCGGCTGCGGCTGTGGTGGTGGCGGTGGCTGGAACATGGGCATAA